AAGAAAGAAAGAAAGAAAGAAAGAAAGAAAGAAAGAAAGAAAGAAAGAAAGAAAGTCTGTCCATCCTAAGGCTTCAGATTAACTAGTTTTGTACTTTAGAATCTGAATTATCATGCTTCCCACCCACCCCCACTCCTGGACATAGCATTTTACCTTCTGCTATGGAAAAAAGGAGCCTATGGATGTTATTAGAATTGATCAGTGTGTAATTCCTTCAGTGAAAGGCATCAGGGCTGGAACATGCCCAGACATTTTACCACAAGTTGGAAAAATTTTCTTCTTAGGACCTCTGGATAAGGAGATAGCATGGCACCCTGTGCCCTTTCAGAAGGAGGTTCTCCTTTGGTGATTGTTCTGTGTATTTATGGAAGACGTTGTGTGGTAGTACCTTTCCAGGCTAACAAACGTTATTAAAAAGCAGAAACTTTCATGAACTATAGCTCACTTCAACAGATGCACAATCGATGTGCATGAAGTTCATGAAAGTGTGTGCCTTTTACTAACATGTGTTAGTCCGAAAAGGTGCTTGGCTACCCTAGACTAACACAGCTCTCCTCCTGCAGCGATTCCACTAGAAAATCCAAACTGCCCCAAGGAGGTAAACCAGTCCTCAGTTTTCTCTCTTCCCTTTGGAAGAGTTGGGCATCGGAGAGTGATGGTCTTGGCCTTCTGTCCAAGATGACCCCATCCTTTCTCCAGACATCCCTTTTGCAGCCGTGAGCGTCTTCATCTGGTCTAGCCTGAGAACAGTGCATTTTAAATGGTGTCCTTGGCATAGTACTGGCATTCCTTGGCAAATTTGAGACCTCTGAAGTCTCCCCAATCAGAGCTGGGGAGGACCACAGCAAGCTTGGATGTACTGAACTTTGAGACCCTGTTTATGTAAAAGATGCCTACCTTGGAAGCCAGATGGATGGTTCCCCTCATTAACTCCCACATTTATCTGCATGCAAGGTCATGACGCATTCCCAGAATAAAGGGCACTGATTCGAAGCAAAACATATAATTAAAGAAAGCAGGAGTGTCTTTTGCCTTAGCAAAGACAATCCAGCGCTGGAGAGCAAATGGCATTGCATCTCAGAATAATGTGAAGCAATCCTGTGGTGTGAAAACACTGACGTTAAGCCAGAGGAACAGGTATTGCATGATGCGATTCAGCAGCCAACTGTTTATGAAGACCCAAACCTCAGAGATTTTAAAAAGAGGAAGGATTCAAAAATTGGGTAGTAGAGTCATGCATTCCTTTTGTTCCCTTTTCAAATTGATCTTATTTGTTGGAATCGTTTTTGAAAAGGGATCCACAGCTGTTATAGGCTTTGGCTGTAGAGCATTAAAATCATGATTCTAGTTCTCATTGTTATAAGTAAAAACAAACTAAAAGCATTGCATGTGTATTTTTAAAAGATGAGGGATGGGTTCAGGGTGATTAATATCCAAATCAGGTTTACATTTTGATGCGTTTTAATCTTTGAAAAATCTTGTGTTATCCATTTTCTCTTCATAGAAACATTAATAAAATTATATTATTTCTCCATAATATAAGTTCTGCAGAGACCTCATGATCAGCAGTTCTGGTGTGTGTGTGTGAGAGAGAGAGAGAGAGAGAGATTCTCAACCTTGGCAGCTTTCAGATGTGTGGACTACAACTCCCAGAATTCTCCAGTGAGCATGCTAGCTGGAGAATTTTGGGAGTAGAAGTCCACACATCTTAAAGTTGCCAAGGTTGAGAAACACTGGTATATATTATTCTTTAAATGGTGTGAGTGAAATTGACAAGGCTCTCTCCAAATCTCCTTGGACACAGTGATCTGGGAATGGAGGAAATCAGCATACTGAAATTGAGAAGGCTTTCCTCCAATTTTTATGAGTTTCACCATAAAAGAGAAAGAATGACAAAATTGCCATTGGGCAGATGCTTGGTGTGATGCAAAAAGTGGAGAAGTTGGGTAAAAACCCACACTGTGCCTGTTAATTTAGAGATTAATGTAGCCTTCCTTATCCAAGTTACCTCCATATATGTAAGACTACAACTCCCACCATTCCTAGATAATATGATCAATGACTCCATTGGCTAAGCATTCCTGGATTTGTCACCCCACATACCCAGAGCTTGAAGAAGGCTGGGATAAAGGATGAAACAAGCTATTTCAAATAAGTACAATCCTACCAAACATTTCAGGAGGAGCATGTTTCTTCACAAAGGCCATTCAAACACAGAACTCTTGAAAAAACATAATTATTCCCTTTCCTTTTCTTTCTCATGTACATATACACAGTTGTAGGTAAAAAGTTGCATTAGATCAGTGTTGCCTAACCTTAACAACTTCAAGATGTTTGGGCCTCTACACCCCCCCTATTTCTCCCCCCCCCG